GTCAAACGTCTATGATTCAGAAAGCACATTACTTAATATCTGTTCTTAAAGAAACAAATTGCTTCTGCAATCAGTAAATTAATTACTCATCTGATTGTGTTAGAACCCTGAGAGACTTTGCTCAATGCAGTAACACAGTAACATAGAAAGCACGGAAGGAGGCCATTTCGTCAATCGCAGTGCAAATATTTTGCTTCAATCCCACTGCTCCGCTTTATCCTCATATACTCTTCAAGCCTCTCTTTCACGTACCGAGAATCTACATCCCTCTTGAAAGCTAAGATGGATTCCTCCTCTCCTCCTCAGAAAATGGACTCAAGTTATTTTGTCTAGTCAATTACCCAACCACTCTGGATGTAGTTTGAGGTCCCAGCCAGATTATATTAAACTTACATAAATTACATTAAAAAACTTACACAAAAAAATTTGAGTTCATATGATGGACAAGTGCAAAATATTTTTATGTAAAGTTCCTTATTCAGTAAGAAGGAGCTAGGTTTAATAGTCATAACTAGTGAAACAGGCTTTGCATAATTCAAGCAGGTGCCCTGTGGAATGGCACCTTCTCATGCTGCCAATACCAGATTGGATGCTCAGACGGTCTTTTGATTTGGATGCATTCTGGTAACTGAAATTTAAGTGACATATCCTGCATCAGCCAAGCATTTTTGTGCAGCAAAGCACTAACCTAACCACTAAGTCACAGTAGTTTACTGAAACAAGGATAGCCAAGTGCTCAGAAAAAGCTAAAACCCTGCAGCAAATGAGACCCCTTTAATTCATTGTAAGAATGGGTTTCTTGAACATTTGATGAGCAAGGCCACCAGAATAAATTCTTGGGAGGATATAGAACAGATAATAATCCTTGCATCTGATATAGCACCTTATCACATTTATGAGACGTCAGAAAGAGCTTCACAAAATATACTATAGCGAGGTTGACTATATTTTGCAGAGATAGTCAGATAATCACAGCTTGTTTACTTCAACCACATATAGTGTCTAGCCCCCCACATACAGTCCAGTGTTCACCACAGGTCTATGAAAATAAAACTAAAGGTTCAAATGGTTTGGGGTTGATGCTCAGTGAGCTTACGAGATACAAACCACTCTTACTTGTTAATTATTGTAAAAGAACAGATTTCCAAAATTTAAAATACCCGAAGGCACGATAGAAAGCAAGAAATTAGCACAGGCAGAAATTTCAAAGCATCAGTATTCCATGCGGGTACTTTTAATTTTTATTCAAGCCGTCGAGGGTTTAACTTTGAAATAGATTGGTTAACAACAACAAATTATATTTGTTTAGCACCTTTCACGTGGAAGGATGTCCCAAGGCGCTGGACAGTTAAGGTTTGCACCAAAACTGGGGATTGGAATCAAGAGGATTGGAGGGTAGAGGGAGTGGGTTTGGAGACAAAGTAACTGTGTGCTTGGAAATTTCCCCCCAACATGAAAAGAGCTTTATTAATGAAAGTTGTATTGCAACTAGCCTGTCCCTTAGAAATTAGTTTTAAACAGTGGGGTTCTGTAGCACCGAAGTTGCAATCTTTATTAAAGTGGATGCACTGTGCAGGGAGCATTTTTGAGAAAATTCTAAGACGAAACTGCAGGCCTGACTGCAGGCCACCTAACCACTACACCTGCTGTTGGCAAATATAATTACCACCAATTGCAATTAATGATAATCCTTGCAATTGATCTAGCAATCGATCACATCTTCAAGATGTCTCAAAGTGCTTCACAGAATACACTGTAAAGCGAATTGACTGCATATATTTGGGGGCAAAATTGAACAGCAATAACAGGTAGACAAGAGTTTTTGAGGATCCTGAAACTTTTTCAGAAGTTTAACATCTCAAAGAACAAGATCTTCATCCTGCTGAGAAACAGTTCCTTAGATTAAGCAAAACTGTGAGAAGTTCTTAAAAGCTCCACTTTACTGGTAAGCAATTGGATAATACCAGAAAAGGTGGTGGAGGGGATGACTATTAGAGGGGATGTGGTGGAATGGCCGTCAATAAAGAGGGTGCGGTTGATGCAATCGAGTATCAATTTGACTGCTGAAATGGCTATCTTGTTCAACAGCTCACCAACACCTCATGGGATCAGTGATGCAACACGCCCAGTATGGAATATAGCGTTGAGCTGCAGGCAGGGTTCCAAGACACAACTTTCTTGACCTCAAGGTAAAAAGCTCACTGCATCATATTCCTCTCCCCTCGATCCACAGAATAGTTCACTCTCATTCAGCACCTCTAAATTTTGCTGCACAGAAGCTAAGGCATTTTAAGCAGACGCCCAAGATAGTAGCAACATTAAGTTACCCTCTATGTGCCTCTTAAAGTCCAAATACCAAAGCTTGGTAGTGTAAAAGGTACATCTACACTCCTGGATTAGCACTTCAGACATGATGCAAGAAACTAATTTTCTTTAAAGGGCTTTATTTTTGAGACGAATAAATGTATTTGAAAATGCAGCAGCAGTGTTTGATCAAACTGGTTATAAAGAAAAACAGTGCTCCAATCTTCACCTTTGTTATGGATTATTTGTAGGAAGAAAGTAGAATGAGATCTTGAAGTGAGCTATGTGTGTATTCCCATGGAATTATTACAATAATAAATAAGCCAAATATTTGATAAGATCACAAAAACTACAAAGCAACATATGAAGAAGAAAAAATTGACACTTCAAAACAAACATTTGATGATTAAGGTTGTCCAACAAAGTGACTAAAGCAAAGAGGATGTTGGGGTTTGCCACCGCAGGCAACCTGAACTTTACTGAAATATTCTTCACGTCTGTGAGCATCATTCGGGTTGGCAATGTGGTAATGTGAGCATTATTGAATGTTTTCATGATGCACTGGTTCTCGTAATTTTAAAATATGCTGCTGAAAAGGCACAGCAGCACCAAGTTTATGCACTAATTTGCATCAGTCACCTGCCTGTTCTTGTTTAACCTAATTTCCATTTCACTTATCCTGTCAAGTGCAGCCTTGCAATGAACCACTCAGAAGCAATATTAGAATGAATTCAACCTTAAAGAATGATCCAAGTCATTCCTTTTTGCAACAATAGGCAAGTTGGCAAGTGAGCTGACATTATTTGCAAGCAAACCTAAGTTTTTCATGATGACCTGTTAAACATCATGCACATAGAAAAAATGGATTATATTTGCATATCACTGATTCAGTTACAATTCCTCATGTTTGGTCACCTCTTTTGGAATTTCAGAAACTTGGTGAACAGCTGGACAGCACAATATGCAGTAAAATGTTACATACATTTCTGGGTACTTATTGAATAAGAGCTCCATAAGGAATTCAAATGCATGAACTACAACCCACTCAACAATTATATTCTCAACAAGTATAATAATCCTTGCATTTGATATAGCGCTTTTTCATGTCTTCCAGATGTCTCAAAACGCTTCACAGAATATACTGTAAAGTGAATTGACGGTATATTTGTGGGCAAAATGTGGCAGCCAATTGCGCACAGCAGTGTCCCACAAAGAGTCATGGATTGAAGTGACCAATTTATTGTTTTTTTTTCTTGAGGTATTATTATTAGGCTTGTGTTGAGTAAGGAAACTTGCCCAATATTTCGCCCTGCCGGGAATCAAACAGGTCTCTCGCTTGTGAGGCGAGCGCTCTAACCACTGAGCTACAGGACTCCACAAGTATAAAATCAATGAATCCCCATTCTGTTCTGCCAAATCTCTGGATCAGGCAAGTTACACCCAGTGGATTTCATCAAATTACAAAAATCAAAATAACCTTAATATTGGTCAGTACATCATTAACATTTAATGGTTATAAGGGGGTAAATACCTGCAAGTTCTAACCTATGTGGATTTTTGCCAATTTTAATATAGAAACTTCATTCACAAAAGGTTAATTAAGCATCACAGGTACTATTGACTGGGCCAGATTCAAGGGTTATTATTTATCATTCCTGGGTTACTCAAAGGCTTGATTTTAAATGGATATTTTAAAATTTTATTCATCTGATTTATTGTAGTAATTCAGCTAGTTCTCCAATTTCATCTCAATGGAAGTTTTGTAAATTCATGAGAAAACAAGGTCATCCCAACTGAACAGCTACAAGCATCTTATAAGAGATTAATCTGGAAAATGGTTTGCTTTACCATTTCCACAGTACATTTTAAATTTAAATAAAAAGGCATTGCATTCGGTTTAGAAATATATTTATGTCTACATTTATATATATATATTTATGTTCCTCTGGCTCCGGTCTGCTCCACGTCCCCCGCCCCAACCGCCCTACTATCGGTGGTCGGGCCTTCAGCCTCTCAGCCCCGAGGCTCTGGAACTCCATCCCCCAGTGCCTTCGCCGCTTCCTCCCTTTCCTCCTTCAAGGCCGGTCTCAAAACCTTTCTCTTTGACCGTGCCTTCAGCTCCCCTCTCGACTCTCTTCCCCCTCCTCGCTCCCTCCCTTCCCTCCCCTCACCCTGACCATTTCCCCCCTCCTCTCTCCCTCCCTTCCCCTCACCCTGACCATTTCCCCCCTGCTCGGGTCATGACCCAACTGTGCAGCGCCTTGGGACGTCCTCCTGACGTGAAAGGCGCTCTATAAATGGAATCTTGTTGTTGTTGTTGTTGTTGTTACTACTCTGGACTTCATCAAATAGACCACCACATAACATAAGACTCACTTCCTCATTGAAATGAGCTGAAATTCTTCAGATCATATGTTCCATCTGCCTGGTAGCAAATAAATATTAATAATCCCAAGGACCATTACGAACGAAAGCAGAATTGTTTTCCCTTATAACTAGACAAACGGAATGACCACGAAAGGCAAAGTGATTAATATGCTCAAATTTAAAACAAAAGCTTTTTTCCTTGGTTTCATAAGAAACCATAAAAACAATCAAAATGTTCCATTCTTCAACTGTATGTAGGATTCACAGCAGTATGTGGATTCAATAAAAAGGAAACAAAAATGGAAAAATAAAATCAATAATCATTTTCCTTAGCAAAGACAGTAAAGTGTTCAGTTTTATTTAGAAATTCACAGTTTCTAATGGCACTACAACTCTGCAGTCACATTGTGTGTTCCACAGTGTTGTGTTATAGCACTCAAAGACAAGGTAAAAACATACATAAATAATGCATTACTAAACTTTGGATCCTTTCACAAAAGGTCCTCAGAAACTGTCCTCAAGTGCTGTGACTGGCTAATGTGCAGATCGGCTAGGTAAGGTTACTGCCAATAGAGCCACCAAATTCAAATGGGGGAGGAGGGAGAAGAAAGAGAAGCTTGAGAACCAGCATTAGTTACATTACAAACTATGACAAAACCTCACATCAGCAAAAGGCATTGGAATAAAAAAAAGTGAAAGTGCACATGAAACTATAAGTTAAAGTTTTGATACCCCATGTTGAAACACTTTGTGACATTAAAGAATGCTCCTCTCGCTCTCACACACACAAATATATACAGTCAAAAGCTCACTCTCACATATTACTTTTAATACATTTACCCCCAAATTAAAAACACTTTACTGGATGTGACCATACCAAGTGAATAGGATACAAATCTGCACTCTTTTAGCCAATTATAGAAACAGTCTGCTCACAAACAATGGCCTGCATTTAAAACCAGTTGACCAAAAGTTGTTCAACAGATCCACTTATTTTGGTTTCTCTTCCTTCGGGCCAAATCCATCACATTTGATTCTAGGGAGCTGAAATGGCTCTTGCCACTACATGCAGCAACTTTGACAATGTTCACTTATAATAATAATCCTTGCATTTGATATAGAGCTTTTCACATCTTCGAGACGTCTCAAAGCATTTCACAGAATATACTGTAAAGTGAATTTGAGCATATTTGTGGATGAAATGCAACAGCTAACTGCACACAGCAATGTCCCACAAACAGTCTTGGATTGAGTGACCAATTTTTTTTTAAGGATTATTATTCCCGGAAAAGCGATCCGCCAATCGACTAACAACCGGGTTCCTGCCGGGAATAGAACCCAGATCTCCCGCTTGCACTATGATTTCATTGAGGTTGCTGCAAATCGTGGCAAGAATATTTAGCCCTAAGAGCTTCAGAGACCACTTAACTACGTGCAGACCACTTCTACAGCACTGTAGTGATACACTGCCAAACCCCATTGATTTTAAACAAAGGAAAAGCATAACAAAGTAAATCTGAGACAGGAATTCTCCATTTTCCAGCTGCATTATAAATATACAAAGGCACAAATATGGAAAGGTGCAAGAAATAGGAATACAGCTCTATGCAGAAAATTATGCATTCATCCCTGTTCCACCTGTACCCAGTTAATTACAGTGAAACTTAATCCAATAAATTGCACCGCAAATCCTTGTGGAATATCCAGGAGATTCCTCCACCCTGTCCCAGGTAAATCATCTTCAAAGCTCATATCGAGTTGATGCCATTTCCCATTCGACACGGCTTTTAGTGCAACCCTTTGCCGTATTTTTTATAGACCTTGAAGACAGACTCCTGCATCAATCCATTATTAAATTGTTGAGTTCAGGCAGTGCAAGTTCAAAAACACCTTGCAAGCCCACAAGCACGAAGATGGCAAGAGGCAGCTCCAAGCCAAAGTCTATAAATCACAATCAAACATGGGCTGTAACTGCTGTGACACCTAATGTCCCCACTGTAATATTCTGTTTTCCTTTCATTATGTCATGCAAACTTGGCAATGATCCCGATTTAGTCTGTATTAAGTTACTAATGAACTTTCCTTGATCTGTAACCTTTGACTTCTTCCGTTTAAAAGATCGCTTTTCAGTTTTAGCTTTTTGCGGCTGTCCATTACAGAGGCTTGTGCAGGCTGAAATGCCACAAAAGTACGACTCCTCAGACTGAGATGAAGTCTCTGAGCCACCTTCAGATGGGGGGCCCTTGTGCGAAGAACTGTAGACCACACCTGTACTAGAAAAGTCACTTTGATTGGAAAGAGGTTTGCCAGATTTTATTCCTCCGTTAACTATTGGAATTACAGTTTCTGTAGCTTTTATGGTGTCAACCTTCTCAACTTTGTTTTTGCAACGTTTTTTCTGCAAAAGAAACAAAGTGTTATTTTGGCATACAGTACTTACAAAGAGAAAGACCTGGTGTAAAACGTACATTGTACCAGTCAGGTTGAGCAAGAATTATTAGCTACTATTAAATTATAATAGAACTTGAGCCAGCATAACAAAAACATCACTGTACCTTTTTATTGTCTTGCAAAAACTTTAGTGGCTCTACAATGTACAAGTCATCTGGACCCACTGAAAAGAGGGAAGAGGGGATGGAAATTAACACAAAGGTGAAATGGGTAAAGTAGGGATTTACACTCCAGCTAACATACATTAGGGGAAAAAGCGCAGGAATAAGTAGCATAGCACATTAGTCCACCCTTCATATCTTGATCATTAGAAGACAGTAAACAGTGGAACAGAGGGAGTCTCCTCTTTGAAGGAAAAATAATTTAGGTTGAATTTCATCTGTCGGAAAGCACTCTGAGTGCAAACCTAACCATCTCTTCATTAAACTGGCTTATTATTTCCAAGAAGTGCAACATTGTTTTGCTGCACATTCTTTCACACCAAATGTCTCATTTCCACTGAGACGGGTTCACTAACCAGAAGGAGAAAAGATAGCCATAGCTGCAGAACTAAAACAAAAGCAATGCAACAGCTATCAACCACTTGCCTACTGTTTTGTTTTTTATGATAATGTAAATAAATTTCACCATTTTGTCATTTTAAGATTGGTATAAAAAACCTTAGGCAAATTTAACAACCACAACATGCTCTACTGCATGCAAATGGGCAACAGCCAACATTTGTTAAGCAAAAAGGGGCACGGCTATGCTTTTCCATCACAAGCTTAGTATTTGCATCCAAGCAGCATATGCCCTGGCAGGATTTCTTACAATTAGTTCATTTGGAGTGGATAATGCTTCCCCTAAATGACTGGGGAGTTATTCCAAAGGGACTAATTTACTATATTTCCAATCAGAAAGGGATTAAAATTGCACAAAGCATTTTAACAACTTTGCCAGTTGTGACTGTACAAAGTTTAAAAATAGCCTTTGTGTTCCACAACATGCAAAACACATGGTTTTGTTTTCTTAATGCTAAAGGCATTCCAAAGATTTTGTTGTCAAATCGGTACTGTACAAAGTAATGCACAGGAATAAACTATTAGTTTTATTCAACTGTACATAATTGCCAAACTTAAAGAAAAATTTCTGCTCGCACTGAATTGCCTTCAACTGTACTGCCTTCCGATGGTAAAGCTCCACTGACTGACTTATTGTTCTGGCACCTGAACCTCTCTTCTGGTGATGATACACTCCTCTCTCGTTGATTATCATGTGCTAACGAATAGAGGGGGAAAGAAAAAAGTAAAGATGGGCTAACTCAATTGTGTAAAACTGCAACTTTCTATTATTGGCTAACATAAAATTTCATAAGGAACAATTCAGGTTTTCAAATTCGGTGCAGATATTTTCAACATAAATGTATCTCAAAAATAGGTCAGATAGAAACCCACCTTCTGCAGCAGACAACTGAAAAGACTTGGAACGAATGAGCGGGTACGACGTCCGCCTGCGAAGGTTTAAGTCATCGTAGGAAGAAAAACACCTATACAATGTAAAAGAACTTTTAAATTATTTTTTACATCCATCTATTACCCTCATCACATCAGAAATAAATCATTACACAGAAAGTTTTGGTTAAGAAACAGACCATTCAGCCTAACTTGTTCATGCTAGTTTACACTCCACATGAACCTTAATCCCACCTAATCCTTGCTCCATCCTTTCATAAAAAAATAAAACATTTAAGGCATGCAGTTGTTCTAGCAAGTCCTCTGTAAGGATCTGTTGTATGCACCACATGACAAAGTAAAACATGTTTCTACAGTTTAATAGTCTGGTAACCAGTTTCAAACTTTTAAACTATATTAAAAAAAATCCTACCTTTTGGGGCTTGGGTAGTGATTGCTTTTAGGAATTGTAATCGGGTAAACATCCTTCGACAAAGAGACATTCCAGCAACGCTGCGCACACAGAAGTAAAGCTAGAATTATGCAAACAACTAAGGAAATCACAAGGTAGTTCTGGCGGTCAGACACCTGGAAGAGAAAACAGTAAATTAGTAATTTAATCATCATTTTCAAACAAAAACATTTAAGTTAGAAAACTTTCAGTTTTTGCCTACTTAACAATACCTCTAAGATTCAACTGAAATCTCCCTAATCAAATATTTGGGTTAATTAGCTCAAGGTATATTATCTGCTGGATACTTCTCAAAACCATTGGTAAATGAGAAAACCTAATAATTTGGAAAAAAACAAACTTTGTACTTTTAGGATATAATTTATTGGTGTTTCTTTTCTGTTGATAGTTCAGAAATGTCATTTCTTTTAAAAAGCATATACTTTATAAAGATCTTAGTTTCCATATCATTTCAAACAAATATTTTGAAGCTGACATTTACCTCAACTTTCAGATTTTCCATTGCGTGGGACAGATTTCCCACCAGCTCAGTCATATTTCCAAGCTGTGCCTGGAGTAAACCAATTGCTTCAGTTTGTCGCTGATCCTGTAATAAGAGAAAAAACATATTCAACAAAGTATCATCTTCTTCGGTACATTTTCAGTTCAAATGTACCAAATTATAATGCGAGTCTGCTTGAGAGCTCTGTTTAGACTAAATTTCAAGACTTTTCAAATGCAAACTGCTGAAATGGGCATCTAGAATTGAGACATGTAAATTTCAGCTAACTAAAATCATTCCTAACTTTTGGAATCCAGTTTTAAAAAAGCCTTTTTTGGAAAACAATACATTTGATCGACAGTCCAGTCATATCAGTTGCAGGGAATACCTTTGCAACTATTTCGAGATCTAGCGGGAACATTTGGAGAAAACATTCAAAAGGACTGCCATAGATTTAGGCTAAAAGTACAAATTGGGCTTTCTAAAAAAATTGTTTGAAAATATGGTATTACTTATTTGCTGGACAAGTTGATGCAGTGATTATTTTCCTGGATTTTGAGAAAAACAGACAACTGCAATAGAGTTTCGACCTACAATGAGAAGTTGTACAACAGAGGAAACAATGAACAAAAAGGGACTGACTTCAGTGTTTAAATGAGCTTTTCCTATTGTCAATTCTTCTTCACCAGTAAATAATCTTCACAACATTCAATCAATGACCAGTGCAATAAATTACCCAACAGTAAACTAATTTAAGCATAAATTTGAGTAAGGTATTAAACCTATAAATAAATGCACCTTATTGTAATCCTTCAACAATGCACTTTTGCTTGTTTGTAGATAACGTTTCCTACCTGTCTACTGAGATTTTTGACTGCTTCAAGGGATGTCTGTGACAAAAACGAACAACTATTGTTTTGAAACTATATCCATGCATTATTTTGAAAACCTATTTTATCTGACTGAAGAAACCTCCATTGATTTTGCATTTGTATGCATCTACACATGGCTTTAAATATTCAGTGGTTGAAAGAAGTGGTTTGTCAGATGAATGCGTTTCACCCACAAATTTTCAGTTAATTCACTTTACAGCATATTCTGTGAAGTGATTTGAGACGTCTAGAGGACATGAAAAGCGCTACAACATCAACTTGGATTTATATAGCACCCTCCACGCCGGACGGCATCTCAGAGCGCTTCACAGTAAGGAATCCCGGGGCCAAGCCAGGGGTAGGGGGAGGAAGGTGACCAAAGGTGCGGTCGAAAAGAAAGGTCTTCAGAAGGGACCTGAAAGTAGGAAGAGAGGGGACGAGGCGAAGGGAGTGAGGAAGGGAATTCCAGAGCTATATCAAATGCAAGGATTATTATTATTATTAATATTGCATAAACACAATCACGATTTTCTTTACTAAATATTGCCAAGGTAAGAAATGGATCATCACCAAAATATATTACACTGAATTTTTAGAAAACTTTTGACAACTGAGGAAGGATTTGAGGCATTGATCAGATACAAGAGGCAAGAATGTTCAAAAAGATACAGGAATTTCTCCACATCTCAAATGCATGTCATACGTTGCATTTAGTATAGCAATTATCACATCAAAGTGCTTCATGGGATTTACTGTTAAATGGCAAGACTGTGTTCTCTATAGCTTCCTGGTTCATGGGCCTGTGTACCAGCCCAAGTGGCTATTTTTATTTACTCCACAGGCACCATCCAAAATACCTCAGCCATTTTTCAAGGCTGACAGTGGGGCATCAGAAACAAATCCAAACTATTTTTGCTTGACCCACATATACATGCATTTTTGTCAAGCCTCATAAGATACGAATCAGGAGCAGAAATCCTGACTATCTCTTCCCCCTCCATCCCTAAACCTGTGACAGAGGCTATGGAATTTCTTCCACAGTTGAGATAACGAGCCTCCAACGAGGCTCAGACCAGCGATACACAGGACCCTTTCTGGCCTATATTCCTCAGTAGTGCACCACAGCGTATACAGACACAGAGCTTGAACTCTGTAAACTCTACCATCTGCAGAAAATATTGGTGAAATAAATACCTTTTCCTCTGCCATTCTTGAAGTGTTTTGTAATTTTATAATAGTCTTATTAAATGCCTTCTGCATTTCTTCCATTTGTTTGCGATACCTAAAAACAAAAGGGCAAAGTTTGAAATCCTGAATGATGGATAAATACATTTATAAATAGAGGCAGAGTTCAAAAGCAAGTAAGTTCTTCTAAACCTTTATAAGTCACTGGTTAGGCCTCAGCTGGAGTATTGTGTCCAATTCTGGGCACTACACTTTTGGAGGATATCAAGGCCTTTGAGAGGGGCAGAGAAGATTTACCAGAATGGTACCAGGGATGAGGGACTTCCATTATGTGGATAGACTAGAAACGTAGGGATTGTTCTCCTTAGACCAGAGAAGGTTACGGGAAGACTTAATAGAGGTGTTCAAAATTATGAGGAGTTTTGATAAAGTAGATAGGGAAAAACTGTTTCCACTGCCAGGTGGGTTGGTAACAAGGTGACATAGATTTAAGATAATTGGCAGAAGAGCCAGAGGGGAAATGAGAATTTTTAAAAAATTACACACAGAATAGATAAGAGATAAATGTCACAAATAAGGTTGTGATGGTCACAAACTTCCATTTCACTTAATGCACATACATTTTATCCTATTAAAGCTCAAATCTTTGTTGGAATGAAACAATGAGCTTACAACACACTACTATATACGCAATCTTGTTAGTCACGATTACAAAATATTGCAGAATATTCCCTTCATCTTATCTGAAACATTCTTATCACACAAGGAATTCTACAGCCCTTTGTTTGCTCTCCCGCAAGAGGTGTCCACATTGCCAGCTTATACAGCCACCAATAGCATGGAAGTTCTGCAGCCAGTCATAATTCATCAATGTGGAAATTGCACAAGTTCAAATGGCTGCATGCATACATAGGTGCTCGTGTTGCCAAGAATGCTTTGTATTTTACCTGGTGTGCGCATAGGGTAGAAATTCTACAGCAATGATACCCTCAGGATAACATATTTGAAGAAATGTGTGGGGCAATAGCAATACAGATGATGCAAATGCAGTATATGCTAAGCGTTTTTAAAAAACAGCCAGATTCATTGTCCAAATAATGTACTTCAGGAAAGATAGGTCTGGGATTTCAACTGAAAACCCTAAAGTAGCTTAGTTGGCAGCGTACGTGTAGGAAGTGCATTATTATGCAGTAGTGTTTATTGTGTATTATGTGTATGTTCAGTTAAGCAAGCTGTAATGCAGTGAAAACCAAGGACTTGTGAAAGAGCAATATACCACAATCAACCAGTGACTCTCCTGAGGGTATTTCTCAACGAGCCCAGTAACAACCAAAGTTGAATCTGCTTTTTAACATTTGCTGAATAGTTGAGAACCACACCACCGCAAAACTAGCATGTTTTTCTGCTGACCCAGTAGTGTCTAACAAACAACTTCTACTGCAAAGCTTTTACATACAATACAGTTCATTTTAATAAACAAATACTACTAGGCGCATTCCAACAAAATAACTGTTTTTGTTGTTCTGATCAAAATACTTCACAAACTTAATAAAGGGCCTAAAGCTTGACTACTACAGACACATACACACCGTTGGCTCAGTTCTTCTAGATACCGACTGCTCAGAGACATATTCATTTCTAATGCCTTGATACGGTTGTTAAGTCTCATGAAAACAGATTCCTTTTGGTTGGATCCATGTACTTGATTTCCATTAGTGTATCCCATGTCTGTAACATTGTGCATCTCGGCATAGAAATCAGTAACTGACCGGTTTAGTCCATTGGAGGATGGACCAGACAGAAGAATGTCCTCTGCTACCTGCTCTTCATCTTTCATTTCTGTCACAGATGAAACAGCCACAGGGGAAACAGGCACATCTAAGTCTGAAGGTGGCAATGGCTGCTCAGTTTCTGCTGGGAATCCTCTTCCACCACCAATTTCATTCGGTACCTCAGTAGCTGTAACAGCGAGCACATCTGTACCATCAATTGTTTGTATGGCTTCTGTAGGAGTTATTAGTACTGGAACAGAGTTTTGGTTTTCTTTCGTGGATCCACTTAGATCAATGTTTAGCTTTATCTCACTAACTGTTTCAGTTTCTAACATTGTTGAAGCTTCCTCTGAAGAATCTTGGTTTTGTGTAGCCTCCAGTTTAACTTCTGTAGTTTGAATGGATGTAGTAAGCTCTGAGTAGAGATGCATCTGGTCATCCAGTTTACTTGTGAGAACAGTATCAGAACTTTGAAGAATGGCAGTATGTTTGACATCAGGTTTTGTATCAGACGTGCTGACAATAGGAGAATGAGAGGCAGGTGGAGGATGACTGGGTTCCAATTCAATAAAATCAGTCCAATTAGTTAAATTCTCTGATAAAGTACTACTGGACTGTGCTTCACTGGCACTTTTAGACCCCTTTGCAGGCAATGAGCTCACTGGTTCCTCCTCAATTGCCTTTTCAGTTTCATTTGCTGAAGCAACTTCTTCTTGAATAGTTAGAACCTGCTGAATGGCAGGAAGTACTTCTTCTTTTGGCTTAACATTGAGTGTTTTGCTGCGCTGGCGCTGAAGAGCCACGATGACCGAACACCACTTGTAAATGTACTCTGAGAAACTAGAAATGCAGGAAATAAGTGGCAGATCGCTGCAGTAAACCTGTCTCTCAATGTCATACCAACTGTCTCTATCATCTTCCTCATCTTCAGGTTCCAGAAGAATGACAGTGGACTGTCTATTCAGTGGCTCTTCTTCTTCGTCTTGGACGAGCTGCACAATCAGGTTTTCCTTGTGAGTTACTACATCAGGAGAGTCTGGTTTATCATCTTCTTTGAATACTGGTTGATCAATAACAGTATCCAACCTAAGGATACAAATAAAGATTTGATTGAGTTCATAGAATTCATCAACTGTAAAGTACAATGCCATTTACTTTACTTTTAAACTCAATTGTAATAAGCTTTTTCGTCAGACAAACCATACACAGTCCAAACATAAATGTCACTTAATGTAGAAACAGACACTTTCATCATAGAAGGCAGGTATTTGGTTCATTGTGTCAGTGTCACTGTTTTGTAAATCCCCTTTTTGTTTTATTAATCCCACTCTCCAACTCTTTCCCCATATTCCTTATTATTGCTCAGGTGCTTATCCAAGTCTCTTTTCATTCTATTAATCACCCTCAATAACCACTTGTGGTAATGAATTCCCCAACAAACTTCTGAGCAAACAAAGTATTTCTAACTACTCGCTAAATTGGTCTAAGAATGCCGAGACCATGCTCGCTAGTCACTGATTTCCTAAGAAAATATTCCTCCATACATACGCATTTACTTTGAAATGGCACTTCGGAATCTTAAAATACTATTTTCTCAGTCTCCTATGAAATGGTATTTCAGAAATTTTAAAAACCTAGGCCACTCTTTTAAACAAAAATATTTGGTTCATCTGATTAAAGATAAATAGGAAGGAAGAAAGGATATGTTCTGTCACATTGTGATCAGAACCAGTGACATTAGTCCAGCAAATGTTGACAAAAATCACTGTTAATGAAGGCTGCCTTTATGCTGATTTACACTTTCTGTTCCACATAGTTTTGAATCAATATATATATATATATATATATATATATAAAACATTTCATTTTAGTTCTGTACAAATGGCTGTTTAACATTAAAAACTGGTCCATTGGAAGCTCCCACCCGGACTTAAGTGGACTAAATACAGCACAATTCACATATAGGTGTGATTCACACTGCATGTCCAGTGGCAAACTGCTATAAAATTGTGTTGACTAACCATCGAATACAAAGTAAAAACCACAGCAGTTGACAAGTTAACTCATTTCAACTTCAGCTCACAAGAGAACTCCAGATCAGCATGACCTCAAGCTAAATATTTGCAATTCTTTGCCTACAAACATATTCTGCATACCTCATGGCTTTGTATATACAAAATTATATGCAGTATCCAACATATCCAAATTTCTATGAAGTTGGATGCATTTCAAGAAATAGGTTTAAACCACAATCATCATCAAGGAGGACTAGCATCCAATGGCATTCTGTAAACATTTACACAATACTCTCTTGATGTTCTGGGAACACTTTAAAGTGCAATATTTCCTCAAGTGAAATTGGAACAAACTACAAGCCTTTTCTTCTCCAGTCTCATTTACTCTTTGGTTGCTATTTTCTCAAGACTATAAGATGGAATTTTGATGGTCATGATATTGCTTTAATTCTGTAATGCTGTGAGAAGTGTAGTACAATTCAAACCAGTGTCAATGGAATGTGACAGTCCAGTCAGATTCTTGACAGTATAAGGAGGAAGTGGTTTCAAGAAAACTGTGTTGCATTATAAGCAACTGATATTGGTATGGCTCTCCTAGAAGTTATTAGACAGTCAAGAAACTTTCAGAGAGCTACATTTTTTCCCAAAATGTTAAGTTTTCTGAACACCCAGCTTTAACAAAGCTTTTTAATAAAAGAACTACCATCTGTGAACTTTAATTATAAATGTCTAACAGTACTCGATGCAATTAGGAAGAGGAAGCACAAGTCAGGTTGCAGGGCTATGTTCCTCTATCGCTTTCAGCATTAGATCCTCACTTCGAGCAGTAAATACATCTCAACAAGAAACAAACCCAAGGAAAGAGTTATTAACTGAACTGGTACCTGAAACTACACTAAGACCTTCACATTAAAACACAAATGACTTACTCTGGTATAGTTGAAGGGGTAGAACTAGGCCCAGGTATGTCCAGTTTTGCAGTTTCATTCACTGATGTTGTACTTCCATTAACTGAAAGAAAAAAATCTTATTTAAAAGATGCAATGCATGAAAATTCACAACGTTTTTGGTGGAATCTAACTTATGTTTTTCTACTGGAGGTAAAGTAGTGAGTTATTTACCTCCATAACAAATATGAATACTGTATATATTGCACATGGAACCATGTGGTAACCATAACCAGTGGTCTAGCGCTCCAAGATGATATCCTGTGTGGAGTGCGCTATATAAGTGCAAGCTATTGTTGTCTAAAATATTGTCCTTTCACCCCTGCCAAGTAAGCTCGACTCCCCCTCAGTGGGAATCTGTTATCTTGCCATAGTCTTAAGTGAGAGAATGTAGATAGAGGGCATAGAAATCTGGGATAACTTTCCAAAGATTTCTTGGGATTTCAATTTGTAGTTCTCAAAAACTGGCACCAAAATCAACTTGATTTCCCATTTATGTGATGGCGTCCTAATCTTTTTGCTACAAAGTCTAATAAAAAAATTGCACCTGAACCTCAATCTTTATAAACTTGGTTGTTAAGTTTTTAATTAAAAAAGTTTGACTTGACTCATTTGATTTTGAGTTATGCAGATATCAAAAACCTTTGAAGCAACTGTAAAGATTTAAACCATGTGATATGAAAGGAACATGAAACCAAACATTAAGAAAACTGAATGAATCATTTATATATCAATAGATGCCAACCTAATCTAACAATTTAGAGGGTTTTAAATTTACAAATTTGAAATGTTGGCCAAAAGGCCGCTGTGCTTCCTGGTTCAGCAGGTTATTGTCTGTGTAGGAGTTTAGAGGCATGGTAAATATTTCCAAACTGTTTAAATGAGTTATGTTTAAACTGTGCAGTTTGATGAACTTTAGATAGGAACTGAATTAGTTTAATTTCTCCCATTCTACTTTAACTTTTTGAATACGTGTTTCGCATCGGGTCAGTCTCAAGATTTTCAGCTGATATCTTCCCACTAACAATACTCCTTTTCATTCCATCTCCAAAATCGTTATTAGCATCTAATTCTCATAATCCTCTTTAGCTGGTTTAATTAATGCTTCTATCTCGTGCTCGCTAATCTTCTATCTAGTTTCCTTTAATCTTCCACTTATCTAGGCCGGGTTCTTTACTGACAGTCTATTTCACCCATTTATTGTTTTGCAAAGATTGAAAATGTGTTTTAAAACAGGTTCTTCCTTTTTTGTAACCATCTATTACTGGGATTAGGATTTTATTTTTGACACAGAATAGTTTAAGAATCAGAGTTTAATATTTTGTTTTAGAACTATGACGTGTATATGCATAAACATCCACTGAACCTTTGAGGCCATTTAGGTCCCATTAAAATTATATCATACATAACCAAGTCTGCTTCTGTCAAACCTCCAAGGAAAAGATTCTTGAACATTGCAAATTCATACTCATTGTCAATATTTCCTCAAGTGTTTGAATTGAGATTTTAGCACTGTCATGCTTGAAGTGTTCAGATTCAATAAACTGCATCTTTCCAAAGCTACAAAAAATATTATGAAATAGTAACAGTGAAGTTTCTTGGCAAAATAGAATGTCCACTTATGTGATGAAGTTCTAACAGACAAATACTATGTCCAAATTTGCACTTGAAAGAAAAACAAGTTATCATTGCCTAATTGAAAAGAACTCGACATTTCTGCTCCTCCCCACAAAAAATTTTCATGTTACCTTCAGTTTGAGATATTTCCGCTGGATCTTTTGTGGCTCCAAGGATATTAGCAGCTATGTTTACCATATTTAGAATGACATCTGTAATGAGACAGTAGCACATGCAGATCTTTACCAAAAATGTTTTGCTAAGCAGGGCTGACATTTCAAAGCATCCACATTTGTGTTGAAATCAGATTTCATATAGAAGAAAAAAAACATGCAATGCAAAACTTTACCAGAGAGTAGAAAATACCAGAGATCAGGTCATTCAGAAGGGTCTCTTGTAACAAAACAAAAATAGTACTATTTTCTTTGTGAATTCATCTATGACTGTCATTCATGAATACATGTACATGGTTTCTATTAGAGACACTGAATTTAATGTACTCTAAACTACAGATTTCATAAAAAGTCAAATAGTGGAAACCTCTGATCAAGTAGCTCAGCGCCAATCTCAAACCAGGACCCTGCCTCATCTTTCATCTTTCTATTGCAGCCTTTGAAGTAGAGGCTAAACAGCCACAGTACTGTGTACAACTAGTTCAATTCCAGGCAGGGCGAAACCTTGGGCAAGTTTCCTTACTCCACACGCCTAATAATAATCCCTCCAAAACCAAAAAAACAATAATAAATTGGTCATTTTCAATCTACGACTCTTTGTGGGACATTGCTGTGCGCAATTGGCTGCCGCGTTCGCCCACAAATATACAGTCAATTCACTTTACAGTGTGTTCTGTGAAGCGCTTTGGGACGTCCTCCCGACGTGAAAAGCGCTATATCAAATGCAAGGATTATTATTATTTATTATGATACCCACATTGAAGGACTACTAATAGTAACTAACATGCCCACTGCCACCATTATGAACAAAGATGGACTTGAAAGAAAAACTAAGCACATGTCAGCTTCAAATGTTTAGCTGCAAACAATGCTGCAAAAAATTTACTCTGATGCTAGTAAAACAGGCTGCACAGCCTACAGCTCAACTACAAATTATTTCTACAGGTCAACTGAAAACCATTTGCAATCTGTATCACACAGCAAACACACACAAGCTGGGCAGGGAAGCTAGCAATGCTGTCAAGAATCAACAGGCCACACTTGGAGCAGTAGCATTTGTTCTTAAGTTTCAATGTTATAGCCATCAGTGGATGTAGCTTATTTTCAAAGTGTTTATAATGATTTACAAATTTTCAGAACCATTAGCTTTTAATGTATTTTTGTACTTTCAGTCTGATGTGACCAAGTGTAGCCATGTAGTAAACATTTTGGGTAATTCCTTGAGATTTTGCTTATGGCCCCTTTTTCACTTCATCTAAAATTGAAAGGACCAAATAGTTTGAAAAGAATGATTACATTTTGTAGAAACATTTAATATACCAACAGACAAATTAAGTAGCTTCATGGCATCAGCAACAATAAATCCTTAAAGACCTTAACATTTAGGTTTAAAATCATTTGTATTCTGTGTAGAGTACAGTGGACCAATTAGGAAACTGGCAGCAAAGGGAGTCTTCTTTCACATGGTCTGATTATCAAGAAAAAAATAAAGCTAGTTTACAGTAATCTTGTGTTTAAGGATCTCAAGTCCTGCCAATGATGCAGAAAGTACCCACTGAAAAGAAATCACTTTGAATATTGTGACAGCAACTTCATAATGCAGAAAATAAATGAATATAGGGTTCCTGCCTTGTAAATTAAATTTGAAAAAAGTATGAGGAGATAATAAGATTAAATCCCAGCATTGGGCTAAGGGAAATATTGCTGGCTCTAGTATAATACCTACAGGCAAAAAATGTCCAAACGTCATCTTGGATGCCCGCTACTATTAACTCTTCAGTTGAAGGGGCACTATTAGGATGTTAAGTAAGGACATGATTCAATTGAGTTGCAATGAGTCTTTCCCCTATATTCTTTCTACAATCTCCAACTACGTTTTGAGACAGTCTGCTTACACTCACACAAAGTGTGGTCACTTAGAAACACCCTATGCCATGGAATAGTGAACGGCAGAAGGGAAAACTGAGTCAGATTTCTTCAGGGTGGAAATTGAACGGCATGAAGAGATAGGATATTGACAGGCTGAGCAAAAAGGAAAAAGTTGAGAAAGGCAACATTTTAATACTACAAAACACTACAGAAAACAACATTTTCATATTGATAGGGAGGGGCAATGTACAAAGGCTCCATTAAAACACTTATAAATCTGGGGTCAGAATTATTGACACTATCCCTTTTACAAGAGGAAAAGGAAACTCACTTTTGGCAGAACCAAGTAGATTTTTGGATGATTTGTCTTCTCGTGTTCCATAATCCAATGGGTAATCTGTTTAACAGCAACGACAACACAAAACATTTTCATGATAGCTACAAGCAAACACTGGATAGCATTTTGCATAATGAATTTGTCTAAATTTCCCAAACCAGGTAAGACAATATAGATCAACACCTTTTAGATTAAGGAATTAGCTTCAGATAATGCTGCATTGGAGCAGCCATTGGGTGAGGAGGAAATCAAGGAACTAATCTTAATTTTTCCCTTCTCAAACCAATGGGGAGAAATGCATCTCTTGGCATTGTCAGACACACAATTAAAACTGGAATTTATTGAAGTGAGATCCTTTAAAATAAGGCATTCCAATACTTTACAGCATTAGGATTACTTTTGTAGAACTACATTCTTCTCTTTGTTCCCTAAAATACACAATACATTGCCTTATCCAGTCAAAATGTTTTATATAATGAATGAACCTTTAAATGCAGAAGTTGTTATTTAGGTTACTGCAGCAGCTCAGTGGCTTTGTCTGAGTTTACAGATTTAGTGAAATCCAGTGCACCTGAAACATTCAATGCTAATTGTGCTACAGTACATACATCAGTCAACAAAATCTGCCACAGCATTTCCAATTCAATTAATTGAACAACAAAATGTTTAATTCCAGGTCGAGCCAACAAAGACTGGTGTAAAAGTACTTATTTTAATTGCAGTAATTGCAAAACCAAAAGTGTGATAACTATAGATATCTTGACACGTTTCTGTCAAACTCAATGGTTTGTCTTGCAAAATGAAGGCAATTACCTCCTATTATGGAACTTATTGGTGTGCAAGTAAGCGTTCAATCAAATCTCTGCATCTGGTTCGTCTCCCCCAGAATAAAAAAATTTCAATCAATACTGTTATACATTGCAATGATCAGCTTCTAATTATTCCATGCATATCTCATTTACAAATTGTCAGAATGCAGACTTTGATACTGGATGTATTCAGGGCTTTGTAATGCCATTTAAATGCATCTGCCGTTAACACTTTTTGAAACTGAGTAATGCAAGACCATTATGTGAAACACGTCACAGCAGTCAGATAGTCATGTTGTGAGAAGGAGAAATAAAAGTTGAGTAATGCAATTTAATGCTGCTGAACATTTATAGCAGGTAGGTATCAAAGAACAAGCAGTTCACGCCTTCCAGCTAAAGATGCTCCAACAGGAAATAACAGACACTGTGGATATAAAGTTTTAAAAAATCCATACCATAATCTTCATCAAGGTATTCTAGTCGTTCTGTATTGTATTGAGAATCAGCAATTTCTTCGTATTCCTCTACCATACTGGTACCAAACACCCTGCATAAAATAATTATCACTTCCATTGTAAAATGATTAGAATATGCATAAATATGACTTCTATGTTGGGTACCAGCAAGTTTATATCAGGTACATTTTATTTTAAATAGGAGAATTCCCAATGAAAAGCAACACAGTAGAATATAAATTACAGAATATGAGACCACTTGGCCATGGGGCCAAACTGTCACTTATTCACCCACGAGAGCCAACTATACTAATTCCGTATCTCAACTCTTTCCCTGGACTATTTTACATTATTCCTCTTCAAATATTTATCCAACTCCCTTTCAACTGGAAATAAAATCTATGTCAAAGGAACATATATATTCCATCTAAAAAATGTTTAATTATCTAATTGTTTTGCCTTTTTTTTAATACATTGACTAGAAACACCCTAAAAAAGCGATCGTTAAGTTCAATTAACGCTAGTAATGTCAGTCCATACGATAGAAAAAGATTTAAATTACTATAAATCAAATATTACTGTTTGGTCATGCAAGCAGCAAACATTGAGAAACTTACCTTATAAGACTAAGGGGACAAAAGTGTTCTGCTCCAAAGTGTGACACCAGTTCCACCTGCAGGATGAGAGATGCTAAAATAAGCATTAAGTAATAAAACAATTTAACTTGCACAAATAGGAGAAAATGTGAAGGTGGTTTTGGAAATCATTTTTAAAAAGCTTGAATATGGTAAGGGCAGAGAACACACAGAAATGCCATTGTAAATCAAAAATGTAAATTAGGCAGTTTAATTGTATTCAGAACCAACAAACTTTGAAATAAAGAAAATCACTAGCTGGGTTGTAAACATTTAATAATTTATCTTATAGCTTGCAATGCAATAATCGCTTATGATCCCACTTCAACAATTGTTTAGAATTCTACTTCAAATGATTCTTTGGATCAAAGGATCGATACCTACACGCAGTTATTTTATTCTCCATTCTTGCATGTTCTTTTAAATGAAGGCTTTCGTGCTTTTCACCAGTCTATTTCCTTCTGCCATCTAATAGTAACTTTTATAACTGCTTTTATAAATAGAGGGAAATAAGACAAACAAAAACAGTTCTAAAGAAATCCTAAAAGGGCTCATTGCAAGCTATAAGATTTAGGCATGTGAATCATTCACATTAGTAAGTTGAGTTTTAGCGAGCAATTTCAATTAAATTGTGCAAGTACAATAATAAAATGATTTTATGCTGTCAGCAATAGATGACTGAAAGCTTTCCAGCAACAAATCAGGTTGCAATTGCAGTTGTCAGCACATTATATAACATATTATTTTTGAAAAAACAAGGTATTTCAGATATGTTCATAGGTTCTGCATGCTCATTTAATAAGAAACTTACTCTGAAGAGAGGAAGTCACTTATCACATTTGGCCAGACATGAGAGACTATATTAAGATGTGAACATTTAAAGTACAAATCATCCACTAGTTTTCAGTGAGATTATTTTTGAAATGAGCAGAGTTTGACAAGAGGAACATTCTCAAATATGTGTGCGGGGAAAAAAGTCAAATAAGCATTTAAATCCTGTCCTTGAATACTGGTAACAGAGCATGGTCAAGACTCTTAACAAGATTCTCATAACGGCTTTCTATATATAAAAAAANTCCTTAGATGCAGATGACAGGAAGCGACCAGTTTAATGAAATTAACCAGATACCAGAGTGTCCCTTCATTGCTTACAAGGCAATACGTGGGGCACAAAAGCGAGTGTCATTATTAGTTAACTAAAAACATATTTCCTAAAAGTGAAATTAGACAACGTGTAGAAACATTTATTAAACTGCACTTTTTACAAGATCACTAGAGGCTGGGATGAAGTAAGCCCTTCGGTCCATTTGATCTCGATCATCCTTCCTGAATACCTAACCTACTACGTTCTCCCTTCACAACACAAAGCTTTTTTTTTTTAAAAACAAAACAAAATGAGTCCAACATCCTGGCCTTAACCAAACTTCCTGATAAGTCATATTCTAGTCATTAATTATCTCCTGGCAAAATTAAATATTTTTTATCTTGATATTGTTCTTCGAAATCTTAAACCTAAATCTTGTTCTGCAGTTTTGGTCCATTTGAAAATATTGCTCAAGGTTTTGCATTCCCATTTAAAATCACATACATTTCGATAAGCTTCCCTCTGGGCAACAACTTTCAAAACTGAAGAGCTCCAGCTTACTTAATTACTGCTCATACTTATACCTCTAACCCTGGAGATAATCCTTGCTACTCTCCTTGGAACTGCATCTGGGCCTCAGAAGTGCCTTAATTTTTAAGAGGCTCCCAAATGACTCAGATGAAAGATTCAAATTAATAAATAGGACAAAACACATGGCAGCATTGGGGACCACAGCACTAATCTCAGAGTCCTAGGGTTGATCTGACATTATCTGTACTTTCCCTTTTGACTACAGAAAACCAGAACATTAACCATTTTGAGAGTCATACAGCAGCTATATGAAGCTTTTAAAAGAGTGATTTTGAACACGACAATGAAGACATGCCACAAAGGTTTATAATTCTGGGCAGAAGCAGATTCTGCAGGGAAATAAAATGCAACCAGAACTGTCTACTGACCCCACTATCTACAACAGCAATGTCTCACTAACATCACAAAAACTACTAAGGAGCTTACTATTATATTTCAAAGCACGCCGCTGATACTAGATACATTCCCAAAACATTAGAACAGAACTGAAATGCATTAGTTGTTGCAATGTAGGGAACACTCCACCACATACAGATGTACATCAGATTGGTGTGCTAATGCTTCATTCACAGCGCAAGTATAACATAGCAGTATCTTTCAGACCTCACTAGAATTGTATCTTAATATATAGTAAAGGAACTTACTATTAGATTTTTTAAACCAAACTTTATTAAGTATCTTTAGGCTATTGGGTTATAAATTAATATTCATAAACAAAGCAAGCGCATACAATAAGCTAAAGCCTCTGCTTCCAGTAGTGTTGGGACATTAACAACACTTATTTGAGAGGCAAGGTGGTTTGCCAAGAGTGTATTTACTTTATTAGTGAGGCATGCAATAATACTTTGTTGGTCATGCATGTTTGAAGTGCTACCCAAGAAATATCCCAATGCCTGTGATTAACTCTAATACCAGGAGAATGCTAACCTTTATGTACTTGATGAACATCTGAAGCAAAAGAAAGGAAGAAAAGATGTCAGTAAGAGAGTAGTAACAGTCTAGAGAGATTACTGCATGCCACAAGCTCACACAGTAGAATTACTGTATTCTCAAATTCAAGTACAACTTCCCTCCAAGTATCGTGGTCTATAAAGAAAAAAATGTCAAAACACGTGTCTAGACAATATTTATATTACATGTAATATCCAAGAATTAAAGAACAGCATGCAAACATGACTAAACAATAATTATAACAAATTTAGAACTGCAGAAACCTGGCTGGAGCAGAGAGAATCTTAGTTTACAAAATTCATATCAAGAGCCCTGTTTAAGCTTTGCACAAGCATAATTCAGTTTTTTTGTTGAGGACTTTAAAGAATTTTTCAGCCATAAATACACTATACTGTCTAAATTTCTTTGACAGCAAAGGCAAACCAGAGGTCTCAAACCCGGTAACAGTTTATTTCTGCATTTTCACACATAAACTTAATAAACCTTTCACTAGTTTATCTGTTCACATTAAGAATAATCTGCTCTTCCAAAAAATAGACTTTGAACTAAAGGTTGTAAGTTCAAACTTCAGATGAAACTCAAGCCATTGCCTCACTGAAAGCAGCATCACTGAGTTGCTTGGGGAAGTACTATGGAGCAGAGTTCTCCAATCTGTTCATGGGAGCACAAAAAGGTAATGCAGTGCCAATCCACTCCACAGAAATACTTCCTGTAAGCTATTCAAGCCCTCATTAATAGTGAGGCTTCCAATGTCAGAATACAATTTTAGGAGAAGGGAAACGGAAAAATAAACATGAAATAATTCACAATTACAATTAAAAATACATAATGTTAACAGGATCACAGTGCATAAAGTATATTATCTGGCAGACATTCAAATGTTAATGAACAATGGGCATATAAGAATCGTTTTAAGCACTACCATAAACTGCTGTATTGCAGTACTATACTGGTGTATCAAATAGCGTGTTTAAAGCTTTTTCAAAAATAGCAAGCGATTTTAAATGAGTGAGCTCCCTCTGCTGGAAGTTATGGACTGAAATGCACAAACACCATGTGTTGTCAAATTTGCAGTAGACAGTTTAAAACAAAATGTGCATCAACTATGGAGTCTAAGCATTATCATCAGTGATATATTTGGTTGTACTTGTAGCAAACCTTCATCCACCAATTTTAGTTACAGTGATAATTCCCCAGATATGTAGTTAAGATTGTTGCGCAAGTGCTGTAATGAAAGGCTATATAACTCCTATTAAAATTGCTGTGTTAAAGTTCCCCCAGTATTAAGATACAATATCAACAATTGTGAGGAAGGCAACAGTAGTGAGTGTGGCCCAATTTATCTTGTGCCAGGGAGGAATATAGCACCTTATCACATCATGAAGACTTTTAAAGCGCTTCACAGGATTTCAATGTAAAGTGTAGTTAATGATGGTGTATTTGTAGGCAAACAGCGAATTTGCACACAATTTTGAAGCGAATGACCAACTTTATATGGCCTGGGAGAAATTCCTTTCTTTTTGAGTTAGTGCCATTGGATTTTATTGTCCACCTGAACAGGTAGATTGGATCTCAGTTCAACATCTCATCCTAAATAAGGCACCTTCAACAATGCAGCACTCCCCAACATCGCATTGGAATGTCAGCTCAAAGTCTAAATATGGGGTTTGAACCCCACAAACTTTTGATTCAGATGCAAGAGTGCTAACATCCTAGATAAGCTGGCATATCTACAATGGTCAATGCCAACACTCAGCATCTAGGTTCACCAATAAAAACAAAGGGTTCAATGAGGTACTGGAGGGTGATCAGCAAATACGGAACTATCCAAGAATTAGATCCTTCAAGGAAAGGAGGGGAGGATTAAATGGCTTCAGAGCTATGAGACAACAATGTGCATTTTAAAATTAAGCATTTAGCTCTCGAATCCTGTAAAATATTTTGGTTTAAAATATTAATGGTAACTAAATTGAAGTCACTAGTTCAAATAAGGTAATGAGTAAATTGGGCATATTAAATGTTTTTAAATATATGCATTATACACTGAGTAACTTTACTGTGAATTATTAATTCAATAACATTTGAACATCCCATTTATAAGTTAAATAGTCTGAGTGAAGCAAACAAATCTGAAGTATCAAAAGTACACTAACACCATGAGCTTGTTCTTAAGCCACAGGGGTAGTCTTATGTCACTCAGTATTTAAAGTGTTTTCAAGTTTCAAAACATACAGCTTTTACCTTGACATACTTGGCATACATCTGTTCATCTAAAGGAAAGCTTTGCACAGTTCTCTCATCTCTAGCATGGAATGTGCCCAATTTAACCCATTTATTGGTGGGATACCTGCAAAGTTTTAACAAAAGTAGCAGTTGTTATAATGTGGTATACATTTGGAAAATTAAGTTTCAAATTAATGTGAATGGTCCATATTTAAAACTGCAATTTAGATCATGACATAAAAAAAACACAACACACCTGTCACTGATAGAAACCAGGAAGTCTTTTGGTGTAGAGGAAAATAATTCAAAGTTTGCAATGTCAAGTTGCCGGACTTGAATAGGCTCACATAGCTCAATTACAAACCTGCGAAAAGGAAAGCCATATTCAGGCATAATGTATGCAATGAGAATTTTAAAGGCAGCTCTTAACATCCTTTTTGATTTTGTTTTATTGGAAGTTGTTTATTCAATCCACCAGAGCAGACAAATTCTTTGGATGCAAAGTGTGATATTTTAAGTTTTTTTAAAAAAAGCATTATTGAGCATTTCTCCCTTGTATAAAAATATTTGCAACTCACCAAATCTTGGCACTGCAGGGGTTTAACATATACAAATCCATATTTTCCATTAGAATTGCCGAATTGCTCTGCAAGGCAAAATTGTAGGATTTAAGAACTCCGTTTTGTGTTTAGACATAGATATACAACACTTAATGACTTTTCATTGCAAAGTTACACCTCAAGGGAACTGATGAATTGAATGGTTAATAAATATATTAACAACTCACCAATCTGTTATACAAGAGATTTTTTGTGCCATTCAGATAAGAGCCATCAGAATTGAGAATGGAACACTTTTTTTGGTATTCAATATTTGCATTAAAAATACTCCCTATACTACCCACATGCCATGTACTTCAGCATGACCCCCCACCCACTGCCTTTTTTTAAAAAAATGTCTTGGTGAAATGTTTTGTTTTCAGTCGTAAGTTAAAGGTTTCAGTTCCACTTCTCCTGAATGCTCACCTTTGTAGATACAAGCCCAAAATTCAGAAAACATTGAAGACTAATATATCCATACATTGATTAGATATAATTAAAATATATTAATGGAACTGAATAAACAAAACAATCAATACACACTTAATGTTTTAAACACTAATTTTGACAAGTAGAGTAAAAACACAGCCCATTTCGAACCTTTGCTTCTGGATTAGCAGCCAAAATTTTTGCTCCACATTCCACTGAAGCATAGTTATTAAAGTTCTTCTGCACTTTCTTCACAGAATGTTGTCCACCACTCGTAGTATGCTTTGACTGGCCTATAAAAGGATAAAATCAATAACACCAAAACAACTCATCTTTTAGACTGATCCTTAAATTCTTGCTTTCTACATTAATGCCTGATGTCAAAAGCACTTACATCACTGAGCATATCTTTAGAGCAAGATTTTCAGATCCCTCCCAAGCGGAGTCAAAATTTTCCCCTCTGTGGGCAGCAAAAGTCCCATGGTAATGTGTCGCACTTGGTTCTTATTAGGTATTGTTATAATCAGCACTAAATGGCATTCCCACTCAGAGGCTAGAAGATGGTTTGTATGAGAGAAGAATTTTAAAAATTCACAGGTGCAGCAGGAGTGCTTTTAGAAGTTGGCTAAAAATAAGCAGCAGCTTTACTCCACAACCAACCATACTACAGCAAACTCTGGAGTGCTGCAATACAGACACTGTTCCTGAAATGGGAAAACATTTAAATTCCGTTCTGATGACCAACAAAAGTCATGATACCCACCCTTATCCCAAAGCAATGATACCCACCCTTAAGTTAGTTAAGTAAATTTTTTTGAAAATATTCTCTTAGGAACTTAGGACCATGCAATTCAACTTTCATCTTAATTAGTGAGTTCAAAATTGATACTGTACTCTAATATAATTCATCACCATTCCAAGTCACTGACTAAGGTTATCCTCAAATATACATCCTCAAATGCTTACTTTTCTCTTTCTCTTCTTCCATGACTTTCTTCTTCCATTCATCAAATGAAGGAATGTCTCCCGAATCCTTAGAAGGAATCACAGATGAAGAGTCCCCAACATCTGCAGTTTTTGAAACTGTAGTGTCCTATGCAATCCAAAAGGTAAATATATGAAATTCATAGTCCACTAAAGCTCATATGCACATCTATCATGTTTAAGCACTCCACATGAAGAGCGCTTTATAAATGCAAGTTCTTGTATGTTTAAATTGTACAAAAATGTCATACTCAAGATTTGGATAAGTTTTTAAAGTTGAAATCATAATTATGAATCACATTTTGCATCATTTAAATAACAGCAATATTGTGGTAAAGGGGATGGAGACATTAACATAATGATACAGCATTTCGTAATTAATGAAAAGGCACTGAAATACCCTTTACAGCTAAATCTACTTTAGTGTATTGTACAAAATGCTGTAGGCATTTGTATAATATTCCGAAGTGGATTTACAAATTCTGGGATTAAAACTGTAAGATTCACAAAATAATTTGCAAATAAAGAATCCTATGGGTGTCCAGATGCATCTCAAGACAACCCTCCAGAATGCCAATCTAGATTCAGTTTTCATGAATACTGCTTAGAAGCAGAGTTCCAAAGGGCCAACATGAGACACATCTAGACAATTGCATGATAAACTATTTACAAATTTAATCAGTGCTTACCTCTGTGTTCTCCTCGTTCTCCAAGTCCTGTGAATCATTAGAAGTGTTCTCTAGTGCTTCATTCAGATTACCAGCATCAGGCAAGAACATTTTCCGAGTCTCAGAAAGATCAAATTCGGAATCGGTCTCAGATGCTTTTTCTTTGCCATACGAAGAGGTGCTCTTACCATCAATATGCTCCTCTGGACTAAAAGTAAAAGTAGTTTCCTAAATTTCTTATTCTGCTGCCATAACGGTTTACAGCCAAGCTAACATTTTCTCTTGGAATATCAGATGGTTTTACTCATGAGAGAAGCAAGCAGAGCGTGCGAGTGGCCAGATACTGCAGATCCAGCTTAGCAGAGAAAACTTTACCTTCTGTGAAGCCTTAAGAACCTCATTCATTACTCACCTCTCAGGCAGAATAATAAAGGAGGGGGACTCGGTTTGAGGAATAGCCTCAGTTTTCCCTCCAGCATCACAGTCAGCTTCTGACTGCTCATATTTTAATACAGGAATATCATCACTGGAATTTTCTATTGCACTACAGAAAAGAAACAATGACACTGCTTAACTTATTTATCTCAAGAGAAACCCCTTCCAACCCACTGAGCACATTAACAAGGAAACCCGGACTTGTATATTCACACAAATGCAAAACTAAATGCAAAATGTTACTAATATTCGCTTTCATTCTGATTGCTTCTCATATTTCTACAAAAATACATCATTAAATGTATTAACCAAACTCACCACAGTGGAGACACTGATGTGTCCAACCTTTGAGAAGAACTCTCTTGTCATTTTAATTAATGAACAGGAGTCTGAAGGCAGAGAACTGGATGACATTTTGCATTGTTCTCAGTTATTTAAATTAGTGAGATACAAATCTGGTCTGAGAACTCAAGAGCTCCTAAAACCTATACATTATGAAATTGAATACACATATTCCAAAACACCAGTAAAACCATAGGGATGTCTGATCAGTTTCTGTGATCAGGTTCCTTTGTGGATCCACACCTTTCTGATATTTCATATTACTTCACAACCATTAGTCATGGACTTCAGGAAAATGGCTAGGAAATGCAATTAATTATATTTAAATAAGTCTCATATATTGAGGGATTTGTCAGTAACATCCAAGATGTAATGTAAGCATTTTCCCCATTATGTGCAAAGTGGTATGTTATTGATGCATGCTTTTATAGACAACTTCTCTTTTATGAGAACGACACCTTGAATGCAAATTACCATCTCAAAACACTTGAAGAATGACTAAACAGAGAACGCAAGATCTAAAGGTGAGGACCACTCAAGGTTGATGATGGATTTTTTAGAAGGCACAGGAAAATACACAATAAGGTTACCTGTGCTGTGAGAATGGAGAGCTGTCTGAGGTAGATGAACTGGAAATGTTATCAGTACTAGTAGCAACACTGGAAGGAGGATCTTCCAGGCCAATGGAAGCCTCTAGACCAGGATCAGGAAAGCTGGACTGCTCAGAATTCACATGCTGCTTAAATAATAACAAATAGTCAAAATTATTTAACTACATAAATATTTAATGAAAAACAAACTGCTGTTGAAAAATACCTTGTGATGTTTTCCTCAGTACTTGTAAACACGTAATACCAGTGTTTTACTAAGAAAACCACATTTAAAAACATTGTATACTGCTACCTTGCAATTTAGACATCACTGAAAATTACAAAACTGACACAAAGTGTAGTTCACAAATTAGAAAACGGGTCATTAATGCACTTGGAATCAGTCTCAGTTGACTGTGATCATGAGCAGATCCTGGATCCTGGATAAAGAGGCTCAGCAACAATATCCCATTTCCACCCCAAGTGAAACAGCTTAGCCCAAAGAGGTACCAATGGACAACTAGTACCAATGGGAAAGAGGTGCCAGTTCATCCACTGAAGCTACTACTCTAATCCTAATTCCCTGATCTTTTCTCAAGCCACTTTGAATAAATATTTGAAAAATTATATAATTCTCCTAGATTTCATTATTTCAGTCTCAATAGCAACTTGTGGCAAAGCATTCTATGTTCTAGTAAACCCCTGCCTGAAAATATTTCTTCTAACCTCCCCATAACTCTTCCAATGAGAATTCTGAGCATATCTTCTGATCACTAATTAAGCAAGCAGCAGCAATAATCTTTCACCATTCTCTCAAAATGTGTTGGGAATTTTGAAAGCTTCTATTGGATACTCTGTTATCATTAGCTATGCAAACGCAACTTCAATATCCCTTATCCCCAGTGCATCATGAACTTTCCATGGCTGTGATAGCTATTCTGTAATGGAGCAGCCAGAACTGCATTCAGTAATATAACTGCAAACTAACATCTTGTTAAAGTATGAATTTAATTTATATAATTAATATAATTTAAGAATAGTTCAAGAATGCAATCACGGTTCTACAGTCTTACCTTTTGGTCAACTTTTGTATTGTCTTCTAATAATGGATCGGCAAATTGACTGCTAACATCTGGAGATTTGACATCTGTAGACTCGGTCCCCACATCTTGTTTGGGCTAGATAATGTAATTGTGACTTGTTTAATGTAATAATGTAAGCTTCAAGTATACACTTGGGTAGAAATATCTTCTGTATTTAAACATCACGTTTAACTAATTTTAGAAACCATACATGAACTGTAAACATGATGCAGATAGGAAGACTGCATCAACAAGAATCTGTCAGTTACCATGACTGCCTGTAAAATTTAGTAATGCTGTACACATGAAGTCATATGCAAAATTACGCACTGACTTTTTGAATGAGGAACAAGGAACAGTACTAGACGACAAATATTCAACTTACATCCCAACCCTCTGCAACCAACAAGTTGGTGTTCTAATCTACAGCATCTTGCTGCCATTTCAAAATTCTCCTCAGTTAATTCCTCTCCTAAACAGAATACCATAGGAGGGAATCATTCCAATCCTTGCAGTAACTGGTTACTTGAGAAAAAGATTGGACCATACTGCAATTAGTTATTACATGCACTCAGGCTATAAAAGTGGACAATTAACACTTTTGATTGTATGTTCACTTACAATTTTTTTTATATACACTGCCCTGCTCTTTCCCTCACCTGCCCGACGTTTCATATCACTGACAATGCAGTCAGCACCTTAGTTGCTTACTTTAATGTAAGTCTTACCTTTTCTTCAAAGCTATCATCTGGTACAACATTTGCTGCAGTAGAGGAACTTTCCTGTTGCCCAGTACAAAATACGTGCCTACTAGGGCACCTGTAAAAGAAAAAAAACATGAAAATTGTATTGTTTAAGAGGCAAAACTAGAACAGAAAAAAAACTTATGGCACAAGGCAGAAAATCAGTGGTAATTGAAACCCAGTTGAGCAATCACACTGTACAAATTATCTAATATTAATATTCACAAATACTATTCAGAATTTTTTTTAAATCTGAGTTTGGGATCTAAATGCTTTGCATACAGATACATTGACTTCAATGTTGTGCAATATCACCAAAGTACAAGTATTCTTTACAAATGAGTTAATGCTTAAAACCAGTAAGGCTGTTAACATCAAATTATGGGAGCGTGTTTCCTCCTGCGCCTTGAAAGAAGGATCACTTGAAATATTAACTTAAAAATATTCCTCACCATTTGCAAACTGTACTGCACCAAGTTTTGTTGACAAGATGAATACCATGATAAAATGTGTAGAGCATAGTTGAATTGGTCAAACAAATGTTGTTGACTGTGTAAATACCAAGCTCTCCAGTAATCACACAGATGTCTTACTGCACACTGTGACAACACATTTTAAACATTTACTTACACCAATACTATATACAAGCAGCTTTTGGAGCTATTTGAACTATACAAATAAAGACATTTGTTCAAGATATACTGTAAAGACAAACTGACAGCACTTCAGAAACAAAGTCTATCTACGTTTGTGATCTGTTAAAGATAGTTGATTCTTGTACTCTATGCAAGCAAAATGTGTTGGGGGGAGAAGGAAAATACTAATAATTGATCCACTAAGGTAAATGGGAGAACTCAGCAAAAATTACAGGTGATTTGTAAATTTATTTTTTTTGTATGAAATGATTTTAAGATTAAAATCCAGTCTGAAGTAGTACAATAAATGAAACCATGAATTGGTCTCAAGATGGTACCAGTATATAAACTGCACATGAAACTAGAATTAATAGAATCTATTGACTATTTTGCTGTGTGAGATACTGGAATCCCTAATATTGTGGAGATTAACCTTATTTCAAAGAATGAAGAATTTAAAGCAATCAATGTAAAATTATGCAGGAAACTATTTCAATCCATGACTGTTTGTGGGACACTGCTGAGCGCAATTGGCTGCCGCGTTTTGCCCACAAATATATAGTCAATTCACTTTACAGTATATTTTGTGAAGCGCTTTGAGATATCTAGAAGACATGAAAAGCGCTATATCAAATGCAAGGTTTATTACTATAACTAAACACAAAAACTCATTTCAAACCTGCAGATGACCAAGTAATATAACCTCTTCACTTAGTTTAAAACCAACAATTTACAGATTGGATGCCGGAACACATGGTGTTCAGTTACATTTTTTAACAGTATGTTCAATGGTAATAGTTACAAATCAGAATTTTAAAAAAATTCCAAAGACTTACATCTCTTCCTTTCTTCTATTATATATGACAGTATCCTGCAACGTGCAGGAGCCTATTGTCACTTCAAAGTAAATTACACAGTTCAACTGTAACATTAAATCATTTGATGTGGAATTAGGAGCCAGCTGATTGACATTTACCAAAAAGAAAATGGGTCCCTTTGACACTTAAACAATGAATTCTACATATACTCTTGTGCAGAACACCATGGATTGAACCATCACAAAGCTGAAAAGGCATTGCTAAAATGCATAAGCTTCACTCCTGGGATTATCAAATATCTTACCCACATGTCATGAAACACACTTCAGCTTTTTGTTAAAGGATAAAAGCAGCCAACACTGCATTCTTGACATCTGAGGCAATAATCAGGAATGCATTCAATGTTGCGGGATACATCAAAACCACCACAATGGGCACCCACAATGGTGCAAAGTTACACTAGCTGGGCATTTAAGATAGGCTACTACTGTAGTACCTCAAAAAGCATCTGTAAGATTAACTGTGACAAAAAAGAACAGCTCAGTAACAATAGATTAAGCACTACCAGACATGCTGTTGGAACAGACAGGCAACAAAGGATTATCACACAAAACCAATGGCAGCTATTAAGCTGACTATGAAAGTTTTGACATTCCTAAATAATGGAAAGTTTATTTTGGAATATGATTACTCAGCAATATTAGCTGAGATTTCACTATGCACCCACCCCCCCCCCCCCCCACCCCCGAACATAGAGAATAAAATGAAATACGTTTTACACTGTCTGGCTGAAATGTGGTCATCCGATATGATGTGTGCACAGAGCATGACATTTGAAATGCTAGAAGGAGAAATACAGAATGTAAAAGTACCCGCTTTCACTTCACCTGATTCACTATTTACAGGGACAGAAGTGGTTTGAGTTTCAGGTTACTCACAGAATAATCTGTAGCTGTTTACTCCATGTTACTGTAATAGGCAGTGTAGCTTTTAAAACAAATGTCATTTCATTAACTCAAAGTAGTTCAACACAACACAAATAACCCATAAAAGATGTTATCACTGTGTTAAAAGGAAATGCAAGTTTTTGTGTAATTTTTCCAATAGCATTTTCTTGAATTCTCTCAAGAATCTATGCTCAGATCTATCCAATTGTTCCATCTCACCTTAACAGCCACACCCTAATCAAACTCTACATATCAACTCCTGCAAGATTCCACTAGTTCCTCATCTCCAGATGTATTGATTTCAAGATCCTCACCTACAAATCCCTTCTCACCCTAGCACCTACCTACCTCTCTGCTCCCTTCGCCAGACACAGGCCTGCTGTGTATCCCCTGATCCCTCGATCAGTGGCTGTGTCTTGAGTCACAGTACCTCTCACCTCAAGAACTCCCTGGCCTCCATCTTATCGATTCACACCCCTCCACCAATTTTTAAATTCCTCCTGAAGACCATGCCTGTGGACACCTCCTTCCTCAGTTGGTGTATAACCCTGTCACTGCGCAATGCTCCAAGAACCTATTTTGAGTGAAGAGTGCTATATAAATGCAAGTTGTTGTTGATGTCAGCCTAAGCAATTGACTAGTTGTATACTCTCTGCAAAACTTAAGCTAGGCAGTGGTAATTGAGATTGCTTATATGAAAAATTGAAGGCGTGCTAAGTTTGCAGAACTACTACTCTGCTTGAAATTTCCCCAGCAGCACAATATTTGAATTTGCCTATAAATGGAGAAGTAAAGAGTATCCTGGTTTAACACATGCCTCTTTTCAGTTAGCAGATAGTTTTGTGGATTTCATGACCTCCAACAGAAACATGATGCAGACCACAGAATACACCCAAATTTCCATATGTGACTGCAATGCAATTCTTACACTTGGTATAGTGCCTTTCATGTGGGCAGAATCTCTCGAAGAGATTCACAGGATTTTTCTGTAAGAGTGAATTTGTGTTCTTGTGAGTAATGTGACAATGTGTGCATAGAGCAATATCCCACAAACAGTCATTAAGTCAATTCACCAATTTTATTGGGGAATTGCCAGCCAGGACACCAGAAGGAGCCGTTTCTGAATAATGCCATTGGAACTTTAATGTCCACCTGAACAGGCAGATGGGACCTCAGTTTTTAACAGCTCATTTGAAAAACAGCACCTTCAACAATCAAGCACACCCCCAGCACTGCATTAGTGTCAGCCAAGAATATAGGAGTTAAGTCCCAACGTGGGGTTTGAACTAACAACCTTCTGATTAAGAAGCAAGCGCCCTACAAGAGTCAAACTGACACAATACATATTGGAGAAGGAAACAAATCAAACAGACAATACATACAAAGTAATGAATGCTCAAACACTAAATTATAAATCTAAGACAAAAAGTCAATATCCTATTCATCACAAAGTGAACTTTAGTTCAGAAATGCCACAATAGACCCAAGGTTAGATCACAACAGTTCTGTGAACCTTTAAGGATTCATAAAGATCAGCCACTTTCTTATCTTTATTCTTAGTGTTTCAATGTCCTCATACAATAGGTAACCTTATTTTGAGTTAAATTATTGCATTGAAAATCATTTTCAGATCTTTAATGACTTTAAAATAATGTTCTGTACATGTTTAATTTTCTGTGAGGATCTCCAAAATCCCCAATGAATGTAATGGAGAGTGATATAAACCTAGTTTCCTGCTCAACATGGCATAATTTCTGGAACCCATTTCACTTTGCTTCCATGAACAAGGCATTAATGAGACACGTTTAAATTACTTTAATAAATACATTTTGTGCATGCAATAAACACAGAAACTGCAGTCAAGTGCCAGTTTTGTGCATCTGTATAGTAAATAATAATTACACTATTTATATCAGCAATTGCTCCATTATTTAATTACAAAAAGCTGGTACAATATCAGTTTTACATTTAAGCTTATATGCTTCCCAACTTAATGATATGCAGTGTTACCTAATTCAATAATTTATGGTTTAAAATAGTTCGTTTAAACTGAGTTTATTTTTTAACCCAGTTATAACAGTATTTGCAGTGACATGATAATACACAAAAAATGTAGCATCAAGAGAGAAAACTAGTTGTAGATTGATTTGGGTGCAACTGAAACGTTAAACAAGGAAAACAGTGTGAAGGCACCTTGATTAGCTCAGCTGATGTTGCCAAGGCTTCACACCAGTTGTGCTATGCCACGTTTGAAAAGCATTTTTATGGTTCAAAATTTCTAGGTAGTCTGGATCACTTCTGCATTGTTAATGATTACAGGCAACAGAACACTCAGCACCTTCTCAAAATAAAAAAAATTTCACTGCGATAGTATAATCATTGTTTTCTTTTGTAATCTCCTCTCTGCTTTGCTACCAATTTGCTATTTGGAAATAAATCAATAAAGACTAATATTTCATCATAAAAACTTCAACCCATCAAATAGATGGAATAAAATAAACTCACCCTTCAGCTCCCTACTGACTAAAGTCTGTCAAATAGGGGAGCTTCCACATGACTCAATAATTACACAACATATTACACTTAGTTAGAGATCAAAAAGGTGCCAGGTTCAATTACTGGTCTGGGTTGAGGCTGTCAATTTCAATCACAGAGGTAGTGAGCACTCCAACTGGC